GAGGTGCAAACTGGAAGAAGCCAAGCATATTGTTGGGAAAGTTGGGGACAGGCAGGGAAAAGTAAGGGCCTTCCTGAGATTTCTGGCAAATAGAGTTAAACCCTGCTAGAGAGAGCAATAAAGAGAAACTGGGAGAACTGAAAAGGGGCCAGACTGGCTTTGCAGCCTGGGCCCCAACTGGTTTTTTCCACCTCAAGTTAAATACAAAGGAGTTAAAACAGGGAAAGGAGTGTTATTGCAGAAAACTTAGTATATTAAACATACACTCACATCTGAGCACTCACACATCTATGTATAAATACGTATACACTACTATGATTCTCTCACCATGTTAGTGCACTAAAATGTACATATAGCCCTTGCTAATTGTTCACTCAGCCTTGACTATAAGACTCTGCTATAAATTTCAGAGATGTTTTTGTAAACAAAACTGGAAAAAAAAAAAGAGCTTAGCCAAGAATTTGCCCATAGGAAATAGAAAGTTTCAGTAGCCAAATCAGGGGTCTCACAGCCTAAAATGGCCTTCTTGCCCTGTCATAAAAGGGGCTAAGGACAAGCACCCTCAAGCACCAGCTGGGGGCTTCCTACCTTACTTCCACAAGGCAGCTGTTTATCTCCTCACTTCTTTCCTCTTTCCAATCAAGTGATTTTGTTTCTCCTTTTAAACTTATATGTTTAAACCTTTATTGGTACAACATTGATGAACCCCAGATAGATAAAATCTACCCTCACTATAGGTAGGACAATGTAAAGCCATATAGTGTATGAACCCACTCATTAAATCTCCAGAGGCAGAAAGGATTTCTTTTTGGTGGACTGAAAATATTCTAGAATTGGCCATGATGATGGTTTTATATATCTATAAAGACTTTAAAAACCAAATTATCTTAAATGGGAGAAGTACATAGTCTCTAGTAATATATCAAGAAAATAATTTTTAAAAATTAACTAATAAATTTTATTAGGATGAGATACTGGTTTATTCATTACCTAACCTCTTCAAAGCACCAGAAAAATTGGCAGAACCTTAACTGACTATAACCTGAAGCTCTGACTCATTTCCAACTGAAGCGTGTTTATTCAATGTTCAGCATGTTTAGACTCTAACACACTCATGACTCAGCTTCTAGGGTTCATTTATCAACCAACATTCAACACTTGCTGACTTCAGCATGAGTCTCAGCACATCCCAGGTCAGGCACACAGGCCAACCAGGGAAACAAGGACTCTCCCTCAGAGACTGTTCTTTTCTTTTCTAGAATCTGACAAAGCCTGCTGCCAGAGCTGTTTCAAGTGCCACCTTCTGTGGTTACTCAGCTCTTCTCCTTTGCTCCTGTGTCACTAGAGGCTATCAGTATGTATTCTCATAGAAGGAGAGAATCTAATTTACATTTTAAAAACCTGCTTAAAGATTAGACAGATAGGAAAAACAAAAACAAACAAACTCTGTGGCAGAAGCGGATGGTGGATTTTATGAGGTAACTAGAATCTTGGAGGTTGTTTAAATCATACAAACCCCCTTGCTAATGAGTGCAGCTGATAGAGCGCTCTTCCCTCTTCCTCTTGGGCTTCCCCCACAGCCCCTGTCCTTTCTATTATTTCTCTACTGAAGCTAACATCTGCACATTAGTTCTTCATCTCTCCACTGTACATAATCATCCTGACTCACAGGATACTCTGGGAAAATGGAAACTCTATTTCGGGTCCAAGTTTTGGGAGATGAATAAAGGTTGGATTGGTCAAAAAGACACATTATATAATTCATTATACAATTCATTTTCACCATGTGATGGTGCTTCCTGAATTACTTTCCTGATTTAATAGACCAGTTAAGAGACACATACCTAGGTGTTCATGCCTCAAATACAAAAAGATAATAATTTGACTGATTAATTATCCATCTTTTGTATTTAGGGAGCACAGTATCCACAGTAATTAGGGCTGGACATGTTGCTCAAAGGTGCAGAGTTTTCCTACCGTATGTTTTATCTTCAGTACTGGGAAGGAGTAAGGATCATAGAATTAAAAGTCACCATTCTTTTTTTTTTTTAAATGTATTTAGTACAGGGTCTCACGACACAGATCAAACTCATAGTAAGCCTTCTGTTTTCAGCCTCCCAAGCACTGGGATTACTGGCATGCCCACCATACCCAGTCTCATTCGCTGTCTCAGTGAGCCCCAGGGGCAGGGCTGGCCAGGCACACCAGGGATCAAACCCCAATCCCTGCATCTGCAAGAGTCACCATTCTTACAAAAAAAAAAAAAAAAAAATCAAAGCTTCTTTGACCAAGGAACATGGCAAGGGGCCAGTGAGGCATAGGTCAGAACTAGAACATGGCTTTATCTGAAACAGCAGCACAAGGTACAGCTGGTTAAAGGCAAAAAAGATAGTACACACCAAGAAAATGCCTCTCTCGTGCAAGAAATTGGTTTGAAACCATCAGGGTTACTTACCTGTTTAGCAAGGTAAAACTTAGTTATAGAAGATTTCTTGTTCCTGGATCTATATACATGAAGAAGCTGCCAAGGGGCCAAGAGCCAAAGGAAGCCCAAAGGAATCCACACTAGAACAGTCTGCTCAAAGCAAAGTGGCAGGTCTGCCTCTGGTCTGTCCAGGAATGAAGAATTCTGGGGGAACAAGAGGGAGTCATTGGATACACATGCTTTTTAGAGCAAGCCCAATCCCCCAAACTTCCCACCTGCTTCCAAACAATTTAAATTCAATCCCATGCCCATATCTAGTTTTGTCTCTTTTTTTGGGAAGGAGGGATGGGTTTTTTCTTTTCTTTTTTAAAAATTGATGAAATTTAGTGATACTTTTAAGGTATATATAATGGTCACATTCATCATAGGGAATTTGTACTTGTACATGATATAACCTGATTCTTCTTATTCCCATTGCTCTATCCACCCTTCAGCCCCTCTTCCCATTTTGTCTTTAAACCATTCATAGCTTCCTTTTCATCCTCTTGTTACAAATTAAATACTTAATGACGTTTAGTGACTTTTCTGGCCAATCCAGCCTCTAAAAACGTATCTTCCTGAGGTTTTAGCTTTGTGCAGTGACAGTATCACAGCCAGTGAGGTTTATGAGAGGCACAGTTATTGCAGAGATTTTTTTTTTCAATACCAGGGATCAAACTCAGGACCTTGCGCATGCCAGGCAGGCACTTACGCCACTGAGCTACCTCCCCAGCCTATTGCAGAGATTTCAAGGGAACTTCTACGGCTACATTTCTGAACCAAATCCACTGTGATATTTATCAAACTGAAGAAAGAAAAAAGATGGTCCCTCAGCTGGAAGGGGAGACTACTTCCCTGGATATAAAAACTTGTCCTTAGTTTCTACTGCTAATTTGGCAGACGTGCAAATATATGGGCACCAGCTGGGCAAGAAGCTTAGTCATGCGACGACATTTACTGCTGTTACTGACTATTCACTATTATTACCTACTATGACCTGGACGGCTCATATCAAAACCAAGGGGGTCTGCTGGCTGGTGGCGGCACAGGAGCAGCAACGGCGTTACTGGATAGAAGAGTTATTCCTAGCAGGTGCTGTGCTAGCCTTTACGCAGCGGTAACTGAAAATATGTTGTGAGGTGAGCTGGGCAGGGCAGGTTCTTAGTTCTGAGTCAAGTGAGGGTAAATTCTTAACTTCTTTTGTTGTTAGGTATTGAGACAGAGTCTTAAAAAATGCTGAGGTTCTTGGACAAGATGATTTCTCAGGTAACTACAGAGTAAACGTCCAAGAGATGGCCTGTCGAGATAGTGGTATCTCTGTGCTTTGAGGGCCCTGGAGCCCAAGTTCTCTCTAACCTGAAGGCTATCTCTTTGAACTCCTCTCACCTCTCTGTAAGGTTATGCAAGTTTAGACTTTAGAAGACTTATCTAAGATATTTAAACTATGACAATCACCCTAGGTGATTCTGATTCTGAGGTTGCTGTTATAGGAGTTTGCAGCTGGCCACTCTCTAAACTACTAAATCCAAGATCCTTTCTCCTTCTCTATTCCACTGAACTATTTGGCATGGTTGATTGACTTGTTTTAAAATCCTCTGCTATCCCTGGCTCCCTGGTTTTACTATTCTTCTTCACTGTGTAAATGCCTGGCCTCTTTTGCAATGGTCCTTCTTGCTTTCCCTCTCTAAAACCAGTATTGCCCAATTCTCATGGTTCAAAACTCTCTCGGTGCTCATAGTGCTCAGATTTGCATCCCTGGTCTCAACTTCTAGTCCGTATGATGGGTGCCAGCCCCTCTTGAAGGAATATATTGTTTGATGTCAACATATCTCAGTAATACGCTGTCATGCTAGCACGGGCCCTCTACTCTTTCTCTTACGCCACAAAGTATCAAACAATAGTTCTCATTCTTAACACTGATGAAATTGGAAGGGTTTCCCCCCACCATAGAGAAGGAAACTGCACAACTAGCTAGCCCAAGAAACGACTGTAGGACACAATATTCATAAGTCAAGGAATAAATTAGGTTACCTTTCTCTAATGATATATTCTCTGGCAATATCATAAATTGTCTTTTCTAAAAAAGCCTGAGTTTTAGACCAACTGTGCTTCCAACCCTTCTGGTTCTTGTTGATGGCTGTCATTAATCTGTCACTTGTTTTGTTTGATAAGAGTAAATAGTTCAATCCTTATGTTCAGTTTCTTTCCATTTTTTATCTCTAATAAGGTTTTGTGTATTCTTTTAGGTTCTTATACTAGGGAGACAATATGATATTTACACATGTGGATCTGATTTATTTTACTGATGAATAATGAAGATGAGGGAAAGGAGAAAAATAAAAAAATAAGGGGGAAAATTATGCAAGAATATATACAGGATGGCTGAAATGATTATACTCGTAATTTCTATCAGTTTTTTTTGAAAATAGCAGTTAATGTATAGAATTTTCACTTCGACTAACTCTGTATGCAGGTATCTGTGATCTAAGCAACTACACTGAGGACAGCAACTTGTGATTATTATCACACTCTTTAAAATAGATTTCTAAAAATAGTTTTAAAAGACAAGAAAAAAATTAAGGTTTACTGAAAGCAAGTGTTAATATTCAATTATTTGTCCAATTTTGCATAACTATATCTGTTAATCTGAGCAACAGATCTGACAACAAAAATAGGTAATACACAACCATTGTTAATTCGCTATTCTTGTTTTGAAAATATGTAGCATATGTATTGCTGTATGTTATCCTATTTCTGTCTGTATCTGCTATTTGTTTTCACTTCTGTTTTTACTCTTAAAAATATTTTTTTTAAAGAAAAGAAGAATAAATAATGAGAATAAATGTAATTTCTTACCCAAAAAGTAGAATTGCAGAAACTGTCCACCATGACTCCTGGAACACTTCTGGAATGAAGACCTTCTCCGGGACTGGGCCGTTTCTCCTTCACTCTTTTCTTCGGAGAAGGTGGATGGTCGCTAGCAATGTGCTGTTTCTCCCTGCTGATGGTCTGATGCTGTAATTAAAGGCAGGTCTCCCGACCTTTCATCCCCACTATTTAATAGTTAACCTTCCCTAGAAGCACGCTTACGTCATCCCAGTGGAGAGGCATGTGACTGCGAATGGCCAGGGAGGGTTAGACTCACAAGTTTCCAAAGTTCCCAGATTCTTTGCGTTGTGGCCGGGTATAAAAGGAGCTGCTGGCAGTGGGCACGTGTAGTTTTGCCTTCAGTCTTCTCTGGACGTGTGAACCACAAAGGGTGGCATCAACTGAAGGATACGTATTTCTCAACACACCGATTCACTTCTTTTCAAAGATCTGGAGTTTATAGAGATGTGAAATAATTCTTACCTGAATTTTTAATTAACATACAACCTAGCCAAGTGTGATTGTACAACCTGGAATCTCAGCACCCTGGGAGGCTAAGGCAGGAGGAGGATGGACTGGGCAGTTCAAGGCCAGCCTGAGCAACCAGGGGACTTACCAATGGAAGGAGCTGGAGATATAGGTAAATATAAAGGTTCTGGTGTAACCAGCACCGCAAAATGGAACTTTAAAAGTTAATTTCATTTTTTTTCTCTTTGGAGTCAAGTGGCCGAGGGCATAAACGGCTCCTCCATCCTGGGCTTTGCACACAGGAGTGGAAAGAATGTAAAAATCCTGGCACATGGAGGTCAAGCCAAATTCCATTCCTTTTTCATTCCCTGAGTCCAGAAAGGAATGGAGTTAGCCTGCAGACAGCTCTTCCACTGCATTCCCTCTGACAGTTTCTGGGGGTTACAAAAGACCCCACCTCACCTGTGCAGGGTGAGAGGTGGCTTCAGGCAAAGGGGCTTTCCATCTCCTAGGGGCCAGCTTTGGGCGCCTGTAAATCCTTTTACCTTTTCCCCAAATAGATAGTCTCCTTTGATTTGGTTAGTAGCAAGCAAATGAACATAGGCATATGAACCTAAGGGACCAGTAAAATGGGTACAATCTCAAGTACAAAAAAGAAAAAATCATAGAATTTAAAGCCAAGATTAAAACTTGTATAAACTTTGAAAAAGTCAGTGTGAAAGTGTATGCGTGGCTCATAGGAGTATAGTTAATTTTTACTTTCTTTTCTGTTTGTATTTTCTGACTTTTCTATAACGATTAGGTATTGTTTGTGCAATAATATCTTAAAGCAACTTCTATGGTTAAAAATACGGAACATAAAATGTAACGTCTTAGTCATTTAAAAATACAGTGTGCAATTTAACAGTGTCAAATACATTCATATTTTTGTTCCTTGTATTCTCTCTGTCTCTCTGTCTCTGTCTCTCTGTCTGTCTGTCTGTCTCTCTCTCTCTCTCTCTCAGCATGCACTGTTTGAACACAGAGCAGACTAATTTAGCGAGACATAACAACCATGCTCGTAAGGTGTAGAGACCATAATGTGGAACCTTTGTGGTTATCAACACAAATGCAAAACTAGTTTTGAAGTTATATAACAGAACTCATATATAAGGTCTTATTTAAAAGGTTAAGAACTTATTAATGTTATTAATATTATCATCAAAATAACTCATCTCCCCCACATAAAAAAATCATGTAAGGAACTCAAGGTTGTGAGAGAATACAATGAAAATTTTGAGTTTCTTATGTATCCCAGATAGTAGTCCTGATTTAACTCTTTTTAAAATGTATTTGTATTTTTTATTAAGACATGTGCATAGTGCGTAATAATTACATTCTTTGTGGGGACATCTTAATCCATTTGCCCCCCTTTGTGCTCTCATTCACCTCCCTTCCCCTCCATCTCAGTCTCCTTCCCTTTTGCAAATGCCCAATCTCCCTGTTTCCTTCATTTTGTTCTATATTTGTACTTTGGGTTTTTCAAATAAGAGAAGCCATGTGATGTTTACACTTGTACATCTGATTAATTTCACTTAATATTATGGTCTCAAGATACATTCATTTTCCTACAAGTGACTCAGATGTCTTTATGGTAGGCTAGCTCCTCATTGTGTATACAAACTATATTTTCTTCATCCATTTATCTGTTGTATATTATTTAAAAGATTTATTTATTTGTTACATGAGGTCAAGCTAAATTTCATTCCTTTAGTCCAGGAAAAAGAAAAGAAAGTAAGAAAAAAGAGAAGAGTTAGTTATATGAGTTGTGCATTATAAACATGGGTATGGATGTATCATTATAATATAATGTCATTATCTCTTTTAGAAAGATTCCTAGAAGCAAGATAGTTCCGTCAAATGGAATTTCTAGTTTTTACAACCATTTCCATAATGGTTGTACTTATTTACATTCCCACTAATAACGTAGATTGGGTTCTTTTTCCCCACAGTCTCACCAGAACTTGCCATTATTTTATTTATTGATAATAAACATTATTTATGGACTAAGATGGAATCTCTCTTGTTTTTATTTGCATTTCTCTAAAGGCCAGCAATGTTGGAACATTTCTTAATGTATTTATTGGTCATTTGTCAGTCTTCTTCCAAGAAATATGTATTAATCTCAGTTGTACATGTTTTAACCAGGTCTTTTATTTTGTGGAGTGCTATGGTTTGTGGCCAGATCTCCCTGCAAATACATAATCAGTTATAGGTAGGACTTTTTCAGATGAGACTGGATGTACAGTGCATGATGCTGGGATTGATTCATGATACAATGCTATAATCAGTGGCACTAGGTTTAAGGATGTGAGTGCCACCTGCCCTAAATACCCTTGATAAGATATAAGAGACAGGAGTAGTGACTGTCCCTTGTTACTTTTCTACCTTCTGCCTGCCACCGACTGTTTCTCCTCTGAGATGCCTCTCTGCCTTGGAGCTAGCTGGTGATGAGCTGAAACCTCTACAAATTAAGCTAAATAAATTTTGCCTGCCTCAGTTTTGGGCATCAGGTATTTTGCAACAGGAAAAATAACTAAGAAAGGAAGTCTAATGTGCTGGGAAGATAGCTCAGCAGCATAAGTGTCTGCCTAGCAAGCACAAAGTCCTGAGTTCAATCTCTGGTACTAAAGAAAAGGAAGTTTAATTATCTTCTAGTTCTTTTTTTAAAAGATATTTCTTTTTTT